CACATAGGTAAGGTGACAGCTACAAACAGTGGGTAGGAAAGTGACTTCGGTCGGATCCCATGACCTATTTCTCTGTTTCTTTATATGCAAAGTGAGATAATCAATATAGATGACAGCAGTGTTGCGTTCCAGTTTTTCAAACTTCAAAGAACCCATGAAAATTTACTTTCTTAAAAACTGGCATAAGCTTGGTGCTCCAGGGCTGATTATAAGAGTGGAAATCTCTTTTGAAAAGTCTCTCTTACTCTAAAGCAAAGAAAGTATACAAACATCGATGAGGATATTGGGAAAGGCTTTGGGATGGAGGGATCTATAAGAATTTTAGATCAGGACATAAGTATATATTTATAGCAGGGAACTGGAGACAAGATTTCTGCTCTGTAATAAATCCACCAGGGCACCCTATTCTTAAAAAATGACTTTGGAAAGGGCATGAGAGTGTCTGAAGTGGGCCCTGGTTCCTCCTCCTCAGAAAGCTGCAGATAGAGAGGCTCACATCAGCTGAGTAGACATATGTCTGGAAACAATTCCTTTATCCTTTTCAGAAACAGGAGAACAAATGTAGGATTCTTCTTTTCTATCCCCCAAATAAGTAAATCTTTTCTGGCTGGGGTCAGTTTGATTCTAGAATGCACATGCACAGATGAGGATTTGTGCCCTTTTTCTGGCTATCACAGCTCTACTGTACAATTTTCTGATTAATCAATAAATGAGACATCCATCTTACATCTCACAAATCTCACATTACATCCCATGCTGTGGGGCTCAGAACATTTATTTAAAATATTTGCTTCATTATATTTCACATACCAATTCTGAAAATTGACATGTTGAAACTATAAGATTTATTGTTTAATTCTTTATGGTGAATTTTTTTCATCATACCAAATTTATCAATATATTTACAACATAAAAGCTTTAGTGTTTGAGATTCACAATGTGCAATGAAGCTGACAAAAAAGGAACTCAAATGCATATTTTTTCTGCATACATAAACATCTACATTATCTAACTTCTGCCTCCTAAAACTGTTGTTTATTTTGCCTCAGTCTTAAATTTTTTAAATAGCAGAAGTATCCATCTTGGAATGTTTATTAATTTAGCAACAGAAATCTAGTTAATCTTCTTCACATTCAAGTTAAACTTTGCTTTCCTCCATGTCCACAATATTTTAAGAGGGTTCTTGGAGGGAAAGATGTTGATTAAAACTTGGGGTGTCTTGGAGGACATAGACCGTGGTGGTTTTGTGACTCAGAGCTCAAACTAAAAACGAGGTTGGTACATTTTTTCTAAATCAAAAGGCAGATCTATTCTAGAGAGTGACCTTGGGAGAGATTATTTTTTTCATTCTGAGATGCAGATATATACAATAAAAGCCAGCTGAACTCATTACAAATATCCTGTAAGATAGGCAAAATGCTGCGCTGTAACTCCTGTTAGCCAAAAAGCCAGGAAAGAGAGGGCTTACGTGACCTTTAGAGAGAATGTTGCTCACCCCAAGGAGCTGAGAGCAATTAGAACAGAGAGTGAGTGCTGCTCACAGGGGGATCAATTTACTCTGAAGAGCTCCAAGCTTTTTACCACTTCTTAGGGTACTCTGGCTCTGGACAAGGGAGAAGGAGGGAGACCCAGTCAAGGGGAAGTAGAACATGGGGCTGTAATGTGAGAAGGAAAAACAAAAATAGAGTAGGGAATAAAGGGAGGAAAGAAAGAAGAGCAGGCTTTGGGAGCCCTGTGGCATTTACTGGCAATGCCTGGGCTCAGAGGCCTCGTAGAGGGCAGGTGGCTATTTCTGTCTCTTCCCCTTATAGAAGTGGAAACTTGTGCTGCCATAAGAAAGGGAGTGGAGGCTACAACTGACATTCTCATGAATCTATAGTGACTCCAATACTTTATTTTTCTCATTAGGATCCTCTGATGTCCAGGTCTGCCTTTGTCCTTCCTATGTGAGCTCAACTATCTCTCTACCCATGTGTCTCAGTCAGGTACTCTATAGTGCAGAATCCTAGCTCTGCATCTGTGTTTCCTAATCCTATGGTTTTCCCTCCTCATTTCCTTTGCACATTTCCAAATGCCTTCATCTTCTCAGGCCAAACAAAATCTAATTTATTTCATACTAATAACTTACAGTACATACAGTTTTATGCTGAGCACTTCAGCATGCTTTATCGCACGTGAGCCATTGCCTCCTGGAATATTTTTTTCACTATTTTGGCCCACACTCAGTTCTCCCTGGGTTTTATCTCCAGGAGCATTTGTGTACTAATGAACTCTACAGAATCAACCTCAGGGATGGAAGGCTGTGATAATGTCTATTTTCAACAGGCTCTCTGGGAGAAAGTTAGAAGTAAGGGTAAGCTAAGGTAGAATTTTTGACTACTGCTTCTTATGCTGTTCCATATTGCTCAGTGCACTCTGACTGCGACATGTGCAACTTTTATAATAATAACCATAATTCATTGTTAGCTCCCCAGATGACTGTAAGCTATGCGAGCCATAGTCCTTATTGGTCATTTGAACAGTGTTCAGCCTCATGCTTTCCTTCACTTCTTATCTGTCTAACACGGTAGAAAGGACTCAGAACAGAAAGTGAACATGTCCTTTTCTTTTCTCTCCTGCATTAACAATGTCAGGATCAAAGCAAAGTCTGCATACATTTTCAAATGGTGTTGAATACATTCTCAAGAAAATAAAGAAATTTTAAAATAAGGACATACACAGCACATTTGAAGAAAAAACAGAAAATGTTAAAATTAATGGGTTAATGAAGTATGGATTAGTAAAATAGGAAAAATACTCGGGTGGCTTGTGGCCCATTACGACCACAAGATGAGCACAGATCACCAGCAATCTTTTGCTTTAGATCTGGAAGCAAACGATCTGTGAAAGCATCAACACACTCGTAGCACAGAATCCATGAGGTGTTCACTCTTTTCAGTCTAAATCATTCTTGGAATAGTGTGCTTGATTATCTATAGCGAAATCTATAGTGAAAGAAGAAACGTGCATAGTCAGAGAGCATTAAGAAAAGTATCAAAATTCTCATTCATTGCTTGTGGTAATATAAAATGGCACAGCTTTCTTCTCAAAAAGCTAAACATACCCTGAGGTGTATATCCAAAAGAATTGAGAACTTGTGTGCAGTTATTCTCAGCAGAACTATGCATAATAGCCAATGGATAAACAAGCGAAGGAAGAGTCAAACAATGAAATAGTATTTGGCCAGACAAAGGAATGACATACTGATCATTGTTGGTCCATGGACAAACCTTGAAAATGTGCTAAATAAAAGAAGCCAGACACAAAAAGTATATTTTGTATGATTCCATTTATATGAAATATCCAGAACTGGCAAATCTATGGAGACAGAAAGTAAATTAATGAGGGAAGAGGATGGGAGGTTTTACTAGTGAGTATAGGGTTCTGGGATTTGATGGTAGTGATAGTCACACAATTCTATGAATATGCTACAAAATCAGGTGTATACACCTAAAAAGTGTATACTTTTAAAGGCTAAATTTATGGTACCTAAAATATATTTCAATCCAACTTTTATTAAGAAAATAATCAAGGAAGAATATGGGGCAAGGGAAAACCTGGGTAATAGGACACCCCCAAAATGTGAAAAAAATAAAGGAAGAAAGCAAGGAGTTTTACTAAGGGCTGCCTGTTGGGGAACAGTTAGGTTTTTCAGGTTTTTTAAAATAAAAAATGATAAGTAGCTGAGGAGAAAATTGGAAGACATAGATTATAAATACAGCCTAAGGGGATTGGTTTAGATACAAGCTTTTCCTACTAGCACAAATTAGAATGAAAGATGTTCACATCTCCCTTTTTGGTGTACTTGGTGCTTATAATAGATTTTTCTTTAATTAGTACAAAATAACGAGTTTCATGGTGACTTTTTCATACGTAAATCAATCATTTTACCCCATTACCCTCTCTTACCCCCCCACATGCCTCTCTCCCTAATCCCTTTTCTTTCCCCTAATAATCCTCCTTTAGAATAGGTTTCATTTGTTTATCAAAATTGTTTTAGAACGATTTTCAGGAGCCTTTCCTAAATAGGACAGGGATGAATTAGATGACGACCTTTCATACTCTTTGGTCTTTTTCTTCCTTGGAAATACCATGTACCACCCACACACATTAGTCTTAGTGAAATGAGAGGAAGCAATGCTGATTCTTTGAAAGTTTTATTTGGTGGCTATATGCAATTATAAATGCGACATTCCTCTTATGACTGTGAAAGTCTTCTCAAACAATAAGCTTTTTATTAAAACAAAAACTTGAAGCTGCACTTGTAAGCTATTATTTCAATCATTAGTGTAAAGAAAGTAAATCCGAGTTATATATAACTATTTCTACAAGTGGTATTAATATGAATTTGACGCCTGGGTAAGTAGTTTGAAATTTCTGTAGCCTTTGAGTTCAGTCTTATTTGGGCTCTCCAATGATGTCATTCTCACAGAAACATCTCTTCCAAGACTCCCCCTGCTTCCCAGTGCTCCCTGCTTTAGAAGAAAATAAGTACTTGCTTTGGGTCCTCTCAGCAGTCTTTCCCACTCTGCCCAGAAACCAGGGGCTCATGGGACAAAGCAAACTGAAAGGCATGATTAGATAATGGTATCTTCCTCACCTTGTCACCTAATTCAGGTTAGGTCTAATCCTTTATTCTCTGTCAGATCAACTAGTGTGTTTTATGGCAAAGTCTATGTCAGTACCAATGCTCTTGGTTTCATAGCCACAAGTTCAACAATATTCATTCATTGAGTAAACAGACATTCACACTTCCTGTATTTTTGTTAGTAATATAAGCTCTCACTTCCATCATCCTCCAAAACAAGACATCTTTAACCCAACTATGTGTTTGTGGAATAATGAAATGTGGTCCTAGGACTAGATATTGTCAAAGTTTAATTTGTTGAGAGCATTGACAGAAGGGACTCTTTACCCAGATGTGAAACACTTCTCCTCAGGAGGACAAGTTATCTGTCCTTCTAAGCAAGGGCATGGTCAAACTGCCCTTTCTCCAGGCCTTCCAGTCCGTCGGCCCAGGTGGAGGTGGGCATGCTCCGATATGGGTCCAGGAGAATCCGGAAGCACCTGACGATGAGGATGCCCAAGAAAATGAACAACAAAATTACAAAGACAAATGTCGTTTTCTGCTCCAGAGACATGCTAGAATCTGATGGCACATTCCCAAGGGGCACTAGGGGTGAAGGGTCGGGCTGTCCTCCATCCATTGTCCAGGGAAGCCACAGCACAGGATTCCCTGACTCCCTTCTCATCCATCATCAGTCTGCTGAGATCATGGTGGCTGCAGCACGGAGACTGAGTTAGTCTCATGGGGAAAGAGAAAGAAGGAAATGCAATAACTATCAAATATCAACCTGATTTTCAATATTCATTCTCATGTTTTTTTCATAGAGAAGAAATCTATAAACAAGCTTTCCTTTTCACCAGAGAGGCTTAATTCTGGATGATTACAGGGAAGACTGTTTTACTCTTGCATGAAATTACTGTACCAGATTGTCCTCAGAATGGTCACCTGGGGCCAGGAGGGATGGGCAGGGACACAATTATTATACAAAAGATGAGAAGTGTGACCTGAAGGTGTGCCGTCGCCTTGACATCCAAACGCAAACTGCCTGCCAAGTCTCCTCTAGCTTCATTCCAGTAATGTTACTCTTACATCATTCTGATAATGATACCAATGAGAATCACCAGCTATGTGCCAGGACTGTGGCTAAACTTGACATATGGTAGCCACTCTGCTACAAGCTCCATGAAAGCACTGTACAGCCCCAGTGTGAGGAAACTGAGGCCAGAAAAGGTGTTTCACGTGGAGACCTTTTTAGGGAACATGGGATTCTGGGCTCTGGGCTCTGGTTTCCACTTTACTGAGTTTGAGGACCTTGGAGAGGTCACTAGCTGCAAAAATGGAAACACCTGCATAGCTTATGCTACTATGATAAATATGTCTGAAAAACCCTTTGACTGTGTACAAAGAAGAAGAAGACAAAGAAGTGTTGCTTCACTTGAGACTGCTTCTCTTTGTTTCCTACTGCCAAGCAAAGAGAGAAGAAGGTATCTCCAACTCTCAAACTGTAAAGATACTATGGCTTTTTCTTTCTTCTTCAGAAACAAAGACCAAGTTCAATATTTGACCCTGGGAAGCACCTAGAGAATTAAACTAGGGGAAAAAATGAATTAATCAACTTCATGTTTTTTAAAAAGACTATTTTCTTGACAGTGGCTTCTTTCCATCTAAGACAACCATTTGGTAGAGAAGAAAAGAAAAAAAGAGCAAGTTTTCACTATTTCCATTTTACTGGTGAAAACAACTGAGGAGTTTAGATATCACTGTTTGTTTTTAAAGGCAAATAGCAGAATATATAAGAACTAAATCAACTTAAATCAAATTTTGTAAAGAAAAGATACATATTAGACATTACCATACAGATAGTCATATGACTTGTTATGAATTTGTCTGCAAGAAAAAAATGTATAATAGTTAGCTATAGAAATTAACATAGATCCAAATAAATTATGCTTAATGAAAGTAAGCAAACAAATAAAAACAGAAATTATTGCCTAAAGCATCAACACAATATTTTTTCAGTTGACTCATAATCATTGCCTTCAGTGCTGCATTAGTAATCATAATAAGAGTTTGCATGTAATTTGATACTTCAAAGTTTATAAAACCACAGTTTAAAAAAAGCAATTTATGAAGTGAAGTGTAACCAGCATAACTGGTTTATGACCAGTGTCTGGAAGAATGGAGTTAGCCATTTGAGGGTAATGGATCCTTTTACAGTTCAATCACTTTGATATTTTTATCTTTTTGCTTTGCTTTGGTTTCTTGAGACGGGGTCTGGAACTCACTATGTAGCTGAGGTTCACCTCAAATTTACTATCCTCCTGCCTCTGCCTCCCAAGTGCTGGAATTACAGGTGTGCACAGACACATCTGGCTTTAATTTTTTTCTTACAGGCTGGAATGTTTGCAAGATTCATTTATGATTTATGTTCTCCTCCTTTGACCCTGGCTCTCCTTGCTGGTTTACTTGAATTCCATTCTATGTCTAGTTTTCCTCCAGCTCAAATGAAGTCAAAGTCTTTTTCTTTGTCTGCCCTCAACAGAACTGAGAAAGTATACATTTCCAGAAAGTTCTTTGTGAAAACAAAAGGAAATGTAGGAAAGGCAAAGGTCACTAACTGTAAATTTACAACATAAGGATGTCTGGATCTGTGAAGTCAATAAATACAGAGAAGAACAGTGTAAGGAACCTCTAGGGTGTAGCAATAATCCTTAACCTCAAGCTGGCTGACTACAATTGCCTTATTTAGCTCCTTCCTTCCCACCCAGGTCGGCTTGAAGGAAGCTATCTTGACAGCCAGTAGTCTTCGCCAGCCTTCTCCAAACAGGGAAAAATGCCAATTCCTTTTCTCCTAAACCAATACCTTATACTTATAAGACTTCGCCCATAACTCAGGGCTGAGCTGGCACAGTGCTCATTGAGGGGCCTCCGTGATAGACAGACATTCCAGAAGTCCCAGCACATAACCCAGTCATTCTGATTCAGATTGCCTGCCACATCACCTTTTTCAATCTTCCTATAAAGGACTCTGGGGCTCAGCTTTTCACAGGAATGCCAACTGTTAGGATAATTTAAAAATCATCAGTTCTAAACAAGTCATGTGAAGTTATAGGGGCAAGGGGAGGGTAAAGGAGGGTGAATATGGTTGAGGGACTTTCAATACAGGTATGAAAATGGCGTATTTAAACTGCTCAAAGTCATTTTAAGAAGGGTTGTGGGGGAAGAAGGAGAATAATAGAGAGGATAAAGCAAACTGGGGTACAATATATGTATATATGGAAATGTCACAATGAAACCCCTGTATAACTTTCATATACTAATAAAAACATTTAAAAAATAAATAAAAATCATCAATCTTAAATTCAGTTTTAACATCATTTGCTAACTAAAAGACAAGAGGCAGTTGGGGGTGTAGCTCAGTGGCAGATCACTTAGCATGTGTAAGGCCCTGGTCTGATCCCCAGCACCTCAAAAAAGGGCAAGAGTTAACCTCTTTGCCACCTGACTACATGCTTTGAGAAACCTATTAAAATATAGTACATATATTTTCTCTAATCCTGCATCACCAATCCCTTCTAGTATACCAACATGAAAAGAAAATAGAGGTAGGGAATTTTGAAAACTCTATAACACATGGTGAATTATAAACCTCTCTTCTCCTAGCATACCATGGTATCCAAATCCTTACTAAAATAACTTCTTTTGGCCAAATAATCAAAGCTTCCTATTAAATGCCAAGAAAAGTGACACATCAACACGTAAGCAGGAATTTGTCTATGAGGACTGTTCCTATCCAGAGGAGGATGAAATGTGATGATGTAAAGGGGATTGAAGGAGGAGGAAATGTGGTAGAGAGAAGGAAGACATGCTGGGAATGAGTGGCTGAGAAAATGGAGAGTAGACATAGGACCATGGCAAATGGGCAAGAAGAGAGCTCTGAGGAAGGGATGAAAAGTGCATAGAGACAAGATAGTCAGAAGATGATTATAGAGATAAGGGGATAAAGAGATCCAGAAACAAATGCAAGCTACTTCACAATTTTGCTTAGGACTGATTAAAATCCCTAGAAGAGCCTGCTTGATTTTAAACCTGTAATCACCTAATCAATAATTTACAAATTTAGAAAGCTCAACAGCATGTTTAAGTTGAAGGACGCATCAGATAAAAGATGGAGAAAAAGAAATTTAATCACTTCACTAACACTAATCAAAAATATTCAAAGACACTTAAATTTTAAAAGTGTCTGTGATAAAATAAAATGTTCTTTTTTGGTAAAAAATGATTCTTAGAACATGTTCATGCTTGGTTTTAACTGAATAATGAACTCTTTTAGATGTGGAATCTGGAAAAGCAAATTATTTCAGAAGATTTTGAAACGACCATCATGAGTCTTACCAATAACAAAGGGCAGGCAGTTATTTTAAGTATAAAGAAGGAGCACAGTTACTCACCACAGTATTTTAATCCTGACTGGCTTTCCCCATCACGCAGTGCATCTGTAGCTTCCCTTTGCCAGGTCCATTTGTGAATGCTTAGAAAATAAAGTCTAATTTTAATACTGGCCCAAGAAAACTTTAATTACAGATGCCATTTAAAAACATCATATATAATACATCCCTTTTCTTAAGTTGATCTCCCTGGACTCTGCAAAGTGTGAAACACACTGAATTACTTATGAAGCCCTGTGTGAGCAGTTCATCTTAGTCATGGCTTGCTCACTAGTAACCACTCACTTTAGTTTCAATAACTTTCTGTGTCCTCTTCCTTTGCTTGTACTTCCTACATGCTGAATCTTAATTCATCTTACTAAGACTATCTCTTACCATTCCTCCACCAGAAGTGCTATACACCCCAGTATCCAGGGGCCATTGAGCCATAGGGAAATGATGCTCTGATGTTTTCTGGCCCACAGAGTAATGCATACTGTAACAGTGGAATTTTCTAGGATATGAATTTATTTTCATAAGATTAAAATAGAAAAAACGTCAAGTCACATATGGTTTCCAGTAAAGTAACGAATGTATTGATAAGAATAAATTCTTGGGTATTGGAGTTGAGGAGAACATTCTCATTTTGTGTTTCTCAATTTGATCTTACACCAGCTGTCCTACTTCATAATGCTCATTGCTTCTCTCCGTTTCTATTTGTGGAGTTTCTCCCCTCCTTCAGGGTCTAATCAGCTATCCCTCCTTGGATGTCCCATCTTACATGTCCCCAGTCTGTCTCCAGGGCCTTCACCTGCCCTTGCCAGCACTGATTACAAGACAAGTCTCCATGCTGTTTGTGTCCTTCCCCTTGTTAAACGGCATGCTCTTTGAGGAATTCCTTGCTGTTTTGGGATTGTTGCCTCCTTGAATATAAATTGAATGAAACTTTTGGCCCTTTATAGTCCAGAAAAACTGAATACAAAATTCAAGTTTCCAGCAAACTCATACAATGGAGGTGAGGGGGAGAGCACATACCATTCAAACAATTGGGATGTCAGATCATTGTGTTTGAAACAGATCTTGTTCCAAAGAATCAGATCAAGTCATGATGACACTTTAATAGTTGTCAATCTCATTATTTGAAAAGCTGTTAGTTATTTGGCTCTTTAAATTTTCCTTAGCTTCAATGCCGATGGGTAGGGTCCAAAACATA